GGGGGGCTTTGTGTGACAGCCTGATGTGTTTCACTTATATTCCGCGTGCAGCGATCAGGTTTATGTTTAAGAACAGTCATCACCGTCACCCAGGGCAGAACACAGGGGCCTGAGCGGAAGGAAGAAGCTGATGGAGGCTGCTTTCAGTAACCCAGACACGCACATGGTGGCTCCTCTCACTCACCCGTGTCCCTACTCAGAGTGTCCTGGCTTAGAAGGGGCTCCTCGGGTTGCCCCGTCATCATTCTCTATATTGCAAAGTCATTGCGTTGTCTTCCTTATAGTTGTCATTCACTGAAATAATCTGTTTTATTTCAGTTAACCCTGTTTGGCCTTGTGTTTCTTCTCCCCCTAGAATTAAGCACCAAGAATCCAGGGAGCACCTGTATGTCGTCATAGCTCTCTGGTTACTAACAGGGCCTGGCACGTAGGAGGCACTGTCGGGATTTGGTGAATGAATGGGGAAATGAAGACTCTCACTGGGAAAGGAGAGATGAGAACGGATGAGATTAATATTAAGGGACAGCGAAGGGTTGGAAGTAAAAGTGAAACAGAGCTGGACAAGCACAGAGGAGAAAGAACACGTCTGAGGGGAGACTCTGAACCTGGTTTTGGAACAGTCAGGGGGCTGGGATGAGCAGGCCATGTGGATCTTGGGGCAGGCTTCCTCAGTCTTTATTTCATTTCTGCCTTCCAAAGAGAAAACTTTAGTTTCATGCTAACAAGAGAAATTATATGCTAGGAAAATATTTTATTCAGTAGTGTTGAGCTTTGATGAGTCAAACATCATTGTTCTATCTAAGGTCCTTCCCCAGCCCCCATCAGAACCATGGTCAGAGGCTCAAGGGAGGGCTCTAGGCTGGCAGGAGATGGAATTGGGGGACATCTCTCTTACTCTTTCCACTTTTTGTCTTATTTCTTACTTTCCATTTTATTCTATTTCCTCTTTCTCTTCATCTTCCCTCAGCCAGTCCACTAGACAATGTGTTTACTGAGGGTGCAGTCTCTGGTCAGTGTTGCCAGGGCACGGAAGAGCAACATTTTGGGAGGTTTGCTTCCCTGCCCTAGAAAAGGAGCACCATGGGAAGTTTGCTTCCCTGCCCTACAGGAGGAGCATCATGGGAAGTTTACTTCCCTGCCTTAGAGGAGGAGCATCATGGGAAGTTTGCTTCCCTGCCCTAGAAGAGGAGCACCATGGGA